CGGGGCGCTGCAGGTTGGCCAGGAAACTGGTGTGGACCGGTCCGCACTCCACCAGCGTCAGGCTGCGGGAGGGAGCGCATCAGCTGCCACCGCACCCCCGCCCTGCCATTCCCCCCATCCTGCTGGGCAGGACACAGCCCCCCCGGCACCACCGGCACTCACTGGATGTTGAAGGGGCGCAGGACGATGGCCAGACTCTCGCACAGCCCCTCCACTGCGAACTTGCTGGCACAGTACACAGCATTGAAGGGCAGCCCTGGGGCAAAGCCACACCCTTAGCACCAGAGCGCTTCCCCACGGCTCCCTGTGCCTCAGGGTGCTGGGATCCCACCTTGCAGCCCCCCGATGCTGCTGGAGACAATGATCCGCCCGGCCCTGCGGCTCTTCATGGCAGGCAGGAATGCCTGGATGGTGCGGACAGCCCCAAAGAGGTTCACATCGAAGAGAGTTTTCATGGCCTGGTCGGAGCAGGTCTCCAGCGGTCCCATCAGTCCCACCCCTGCATTGCAGACTGCCAGGCACAGTGCAGTCAGACAGTGGCTGTGCACACCACCGAGTGCCACAAGGCAGAAATGGGGGGGCCTTTCCCAGCTGATGGGCCCTTGGCACCCCCTAATCCATCTAATGCACCTCTGCCCCGCTAAACACATCCTGTCCCAGCCCTAGGACTGCGTGCACCTCCCGTGATTTGGCATCTGCTGCCGGTGCCCTGGGTAGGGCTGTGACCCCAGAGAGGTCCCCTCAGCACCCCAGGAAGAGCCTTACCCAGCACATCCAGCCGCTGTCCCTGCACCCGCTGTGCAGCAGCTGCCAGCGAGCCTGGATCAGTGACATCAAGCTGCAGCACCTCCAGCGTGTCGGGGCAGCAGCCCCCCAGGCGCTCCAGCAGCCGCTCACCCTTGGCCAGGTCGCGCATGGTGGCATAAACTGAGAGGAGAGAGTGTGGCCATGGGCAGCGGTGCCACCAAGCTGCATGGCCAGCACCAACCCCAGCCCACCCCCAGGCTGTTTCTGGCTGTTTCTCCTTGGTGAGGCCCTACCTAGCCCAGCCCTGAGACCACCGGGGGCTGCTGGACCCCCGGGCAGCGACGACCCCTTTACCTTTGAAGCGGCGAGAGGCGTCAGCTGCCAGGCGTGCAGCCAGCCCCAGGCCGATGCCTGAGGAGCAGCCTGTGATCAGCACCGTGGTTCTCTCCATGGCTGGCAGCTCTGGCCAGCGGGGCCACGCCATTTAAGAGGGCTGGGAAGGGGTCCCCCCGCCCCACACCATCGTGTTGTGTCTGCTGCCTTATCTCAAGGCCCCTCCACCCACCTCCCTGTGCATGCCTGGGGCTCCCTGTGCCTTGATCCTCGTGCAGGTGCTGTGATAAAGGCTCCACCGAGCCAGGACCTCCCTGCTGGAGGAGGCTGTGGGGCACACGGGGAGCTGCAGCCCCAGGGGTCTGCCCCAGCTGTACTTTGCTGTGCCAGGCACCCCGGCTGCCAGGACACGTCTGGCAGGGTGCTGTTCCTGCTCTGCAGGCTCAGGGCTGAGCTGCTCCTCTGCCCCCATGTTCCACACGGTCCTGTGCTAGCAAAAGCAGCTGGACACACGTGGGAGAAAAGTCTGTATTTGCTCCATGGCTGGGCTCTGCCCAAGCCCCAGCTGTGGAAAAGGCCTCAAAAACTCCATCCTGGGGAACGCAGCCCCAGCAACACTGCAGGCAATGCTGCAAAGTCCTTCATGACACAAAAGGCACCAAATGTGGGCAGGGCCATGCAGTGCCATGTCCCCACAGGCACTGGGGTCCAATGCTGCCCATTGCCCACTGCCACCTCCCTGTCTGCTTCTCCCCCATCACTGCCCCTGCTAGCCAGCCAAGGCCCCACAGCAGGGACACATCTGTCCTGTCCCTCTGCAGTGTCCCACTAAGCTTCCAGCTGAGAGCACTGGGGCAGCCCAGCTTTCCTGGGAGCAGGCTCAGGGCAGCCAGGCAGAGCTGGGCACAAAGCATGGTGTGAGATGGGACTCCGGGGCACAGCCTGTCCCCCCATCCACCTGCCAGCCCCTTGTCCATGTGCCAGCCCTTCTTGGGGCACATCCTGCCCATGCAGGTGAAGGGGTCTATCCAGGCTGGCTGAGGGCCACCAGGGCTCTGTGCCCCTCTTCCAGTACAGCCAGGACACAGCCATCAGGCCAGGAGCCCAGAGTGGGGAGGGTGCAGGGGCTCTGTCCACCCTCTCTGGGGGAGGCTCCAAAGTCACGCAGGCCCAGCCAAGCTGCGCCGCAGGGCGCTGGGGTAGTATTTGAGGAACAGCTTCCTGGAGATCTCCATCGTATCCCCAGCTGGCACAGCTGGGTAGCGCTTCTTGTTGTAGATGAAGCCTCTCTCCACTTGGAAGACAGCCTTGTTGAATTGATCCTGGTGGAAGGGGCGGCCTGAGTTGAGGCTCTCCACCAGCACAGAGACGAAGAGGCTCCAGCGCACAGTGTAATAGTCCAGCACCAGCCCCCCCAGCTGCTTGTTGGCGTAGTCCAGAATGTTCCCGCTGGGCCCCCAGAGCGTCACCTGGTTGCGGGCATTCAGCTCATACTGCTCAGCCTCCCGGTCACTGGTGGCCATGGCACGGGCACTCTCCAGCCAGCGGCCGAGGAGGAAGAGGCTGTGGCTGGACAGGAGGCTGTCCAGCTCTGGCAGCAGGTCGTACACCAGCACGCCACCGGCCGTCAGCAGCTCGGGCAGCGCGTGGCTCTGGAAGGCCTGGCGGATGCTCAGGTAGTAGTCGCTGACCAGCTGCTGGGCCGCCTGCCGCGTCACGTCCACCAGGTCGTACAGGAAGGTGGGGCTGGAGCCCAGCTCGGCACCGGCGCTCAGCAGCAGGCGCCAGGCTTCGTACACATCGCTGGCGTTGTACCAGAGCTCCGTGTCCATGTGCAGCGAGGGCCGGCGCACCAAGGGGCTGCGGTTGTGGTTGACGCACACACCGGTGCAGTTATACACGCTGCGGAGGAGCAGGCGCCAGGCGCCGGCTGCGGCAGTGTTTGGGGCGCCGTAGCGGCGCTCGGCGTAGCGGGTCACCCAGCTGGGCAGGTCGAGGGGCTCCTGACGCCAGCCCAGCTCGTTCATCAGCTCGTACACCATGTCGTTCTGCTCAATGCCCTCGGGCACCAGCCCCGTGCCCACCATGGTGGAGTTGGGGAAGCGCCGAGCGGCGAAGGGGCCGTGGTTGATGGCCTCCACGGTGCCAAAGAGGCCGTGGTTGCCCCCAAAGTTGTGCAACATGCACCAGATGAAGGGCTGCCCATAGAAGGACTCTGTCCACTGGTAAACGGGCTTGGACTCAGCGAAGAGGTCGAGAACAATCATCCTGCCGAGGGGCACTCCATGCAGCAGGGCTCGCACCTGTGCTGGCTGCCAGAAGTCAGGCTGGTGCTGGAAGAGCCAGCCCTGCATCAGCCACAGAGCCTTGGGGTCAGCTGGGGACAGAAAAGCACTGAGTGAGATCCTCTCCAGACAGGGCCCACAGGTGTCTCATGAGGCCCTGGGGTCACCAACCACCCCTCAAGGGGGTTTTGGGGGTCTGGCACCAATGGGTTCTGTGCTTGCATGGGGCCCACAGCCATCTCCCCCAGCTCCTGCTGTCCCACCTGGAGCCGTGTGGCCAGGCCAGCAGCACACACTGACCCACCTCCCGTCATCGAACTGAAAACAGCATTGCTGACTCTCGACAGATAGGCAGGGTCAGAGGACAGCGGGGTCATCTCGTTGAAGGTGTCTGCGCTATAGACGTGGTCTGTGCCAAACTCCTTGATCAACTCCTTCAGGAAGAGGGTCCCGATCACCTGGAACATGGGGTCCTCTGGGTCCAGCAGGTAGATGCATGAGTAGGTGCAGTCAAAGTGGCTCCAGCGCCCCAGGCGAGTGGCATTCACACGTGGGAAGACCCTGCACCGGGGAGCAGAGATGGGGATCAGGAGAACAGGACGGGACCACTGTGCCCATACAGGGACAGGGCAGCCTCCCAGGGAACTGAGCCCCCGGGGCAGGGACTGCACCTACCGAAGGATCCCCTGCGGCACGTGGCCCGCGAAGGCCGGCAGCACCGTGGTCATCCCCAGCGAGCGCATCCGCTCCACGATCCGGTACTGGGGGAGAGAAGGAGGGAGGGAGCAGGAGAGAAGCCCCCACCTTCCCACGAGGGGACCCCGGGCGCTGCTGCAGCTCGGGGTGGGGCAGGGGGATCCCCGAGGCTCCCTGAGGGCAGCCTCGGCCAGGAGGACCAAGGGGTGACAGGGGTTTGCCCCGTCCCCGGTACCTGCAGGTAGAGCTGCTTGAGGTGCCAGGTGGGCGGCAGCGGCCCGGCCCAGCGGCGGAGGTTGCCCATCCTGTTCCAGGCCAGGAACGCGGGGCCCGTAAAGTACTTGTCGATCTCCGACTGGTTCAGCCCCAGGTTGCGGTAAACCTGCGCCGGGCGCCGGGGGTCAGTCGGTCCCACGGCTCCCGGTTCCAGAGGTCCCGCCACCGCCATCCTGTTGGTTCCGGTTCCGACGCCTTCCCGGTCCCCGCCGCCCCTCGTCCCCGGTTCTCACCCGCTGCCAGACCGCCTCTTGCCCCGCGAACGCCGGTGCCAGGTTAATGCCGCTCAGCGCCATCCAGTCGATCTCCCGCTCCCAGCGCGCCCAGTCCCACCAGGCGAAGGAGTAGCTCTGGGTGCAGACGTTCTGGTAGTAGCGGTACCTGCGGGACGGCGGAGGCTGCGCCCGGGCCCCCCGGGCCCCCGTTACATAACAGCGCCTTGTCCCGCGCTAACGAGGCGTGAGCCCGGCCCCGCGTCCCCGTTACCTGCCGGGGGCGGCGGCGCGGATCTCGGCCCGCA